CTTAAAAATATTGGGAGAATGATCATATATAGCTCTTAAATAAATTGTGTGTTTAATTTCTCAATGTATACATAAAAAAAAGAGCTCTTAATTACGAGAGAAAACCAATTCCTCTTTTGGAACAAGAATTTACTTAACTCGTAACATTTAACTTGTTTATACAAAATGTTTTTAAGTTTTATTTATTTTGTGGTCATTGGGAAACAATTCGTCATCAATCAATTTTTTTATAAAAGAAGACCGAAGCCCAGTGACAACAAATTAAGGAAGCGAAATTAAAAGGTGTCACCAAAAACAAAATAGAGTAACCAGAAGGAGGGCTAGTAAATTCATTATGCAGCACGTTATCTTCCAAGCCTAGGATGTGATTTGCGAATCAATCAATCAGCATAGACATTCCATTCCCTGCAGGAGTGTTGAAGAAATTTTTTATTACCATTTAAATTTTTTCCCTAAAATATTACTAAATGAGTCAATTTCAAAGAAAAAATTTAAGGGTAAAATTTTCTTCCTTTTACATGACTCAATCAATAATTTTTTTACATGAACATAACAGTGGCTTTTTCACCTTTTTGCCCTTTATTAATTAATTAATAACCATTTTGCCCCTGATTCGAAACTATCTACCAATCTGCCCCTCTTTAATCGACTACCTTGCATTTTTAATCGACTAAACGGTTGTTGGGAGATTTAATCGACTAAATCTCTCTACTTAATCGATTAAAATCATACTGACTTATTTTTTTTTTGTAAAATATGAAGATTTAGTCGACTAAATAGGGAGATTTAGTCGACTAAATAGGGAGATTTAGTCGACTAAATCTCCCAGCAGCCATTTTTTTGTCTGTTTTGGCCATTTAGTCGATTAAAAATGCAAGGTAGTCGACTAAAGAAGGGCAGATTGATAAATAGTTTCGAATCAGGGGCAAAATGGTTATTAATTAATTAAGAAGGAATAAAAGGGTGAAAAAGCCCACAACAGTGGGCCCATTAAATTTTTTACTTTTTTATTTTATTTTAAAATAGTGGACTCCATAATTAATTATCTCTATGGCATAACCTAAGAATTTTCCTACAACGTAATATTTGTTTTTTTCAAAATTTAAACGCAATTTCGTCTAATCTATCTATATAATATGAAAGTTCCTCTGTTAAATTTTTCTTTATTTTTACTCATTACATATAACATGAAAGTTCTTACTAGAAAATTGTCACATGAGTATTTGTAATATGTAATTATGTAACTGTACTTTTTCTTAATCTAATCTACCATTACATAATGTAAAAGTAAATTTTTCTTAATCTATCTATATACAAATTCGAAATTCTCATGTGACAATTTTTTAAATTTCGAATTTGTAATTATGTAACCTTACTTTTTTTAGTCATTGACTTTTTTTTCCGCTGAAATCTTTCTTAAATTTTTTAATCTTTTAAATTTTTACTTTTTGAAAGTTACAATAAAGTATATTCCCTTTTAACAAAATAGAAATAAAAATACTCCATTTAAAAATATCATTCTCTACTTATTCATTCATTCATTTTATTTTTAACCTTTTAGATTGTAATGAAAACAATATTTGAATAATTCTTAAGAGACAACTTTATTGACATGCAATAGAAATACACGATTTTAAGCATGTAATAAGGAAATGGATTCTATCCCTTTATCTTCCCATTTTCTCCTTCCAATGCATGGTAGTTGAAAAAAACCATTTCAACCAAAAATCTTGTAAATAATCAATTCAACTCAAAAGTTTAAGTTATTGGGTGAGGTTATATTAATGATTTTATATATCTCAACAGTAGTACATTTATAGTGGGTTATCACATGAAATAAATAAATAAATAATATTATAATTTTATTTAATTTGTGTATATTTTATCAATAATTTTATTTTATTTTATTTATACTAAAATATTAACATAAGATGTTTCAAAATATTTATAAGTATTATACAAATACAAGATACGTACCGTAATAACTAATAAACAGATAATTTAATAAGTATATGAGATATTTTTAAGGAAAAGTATCAAAATATAATTGATACTGAGTTAGAAAATTATTTAATAAAATAAAAAATAAGGATCAACAGCAATTAAATTTTACATATCATAAAAGAATTCAACTAATAAGTTAAAATAAATACAATAACATTTTTCATTTAAATTATATATACAAAATTAAAAAATGTATCAAAATACTGTTACAAACAAATAAGATAAAATTGAACCATATAATTATTAAATTTTAAATATGAGATATGTTTATCACTTTTGATTTGATATCATCTTCAAAATATTTTGAATATAAATTTCTCTTAAACAAAATAAATTAATTCAAACATAATTTAAAAAAAAAACTCGTAATTTTAAATGTTTAGATTAAGTACCACAGGAACAGCAGATGCTGATGGTAGAAAATTATCCATCCCTGCTACATTATCTTTCTCCCAATTTCTTGTGTTTACATGATTCTTATCCTTATTACCCAAATTTCTTATACCAACGGTAATCTCTTACAAAGTTAAAATGCATCCTACAATGATTATATAACAATGCATCAATGTCAAAATAATTTGGAATTACAAATAAGCACACAAAAAACTGAGAAGAAATAACAAAGCTTTAATTAAATTAAAATAGTAAATATAACATGTATTTAACAAATATCATTGTTGCTTTTGGAAGTCGAAAGTTTAGACGGAGGAAAGCTAGTATGATTAAGATTAAACAAAGTTTAGAAGCGTGATGATATGAGTTTTATTAATCTCATGTTAAAATAGATAAATTATCTCATGTCATAGAGATAAATTTGTAGGCTCCATCACCCGAAAAATAAAAAGAAAAGAAAAGAAGTTATCAAAGGGTGTGTAGGAGAGAAATTTATCACATGTAACATAAGAGTAGTTTTTCTCATATCATAAATGGCTTTTACGGTCTAGTGGGTCCAAGCATCCATGAAGAATCTCAAAACGATGCACTACAATAATAATAAATAAAATAAAATCAACAATATATATATGGGGAATATTAGTCTTATGTTACATGAGAGTAGTTCTCTCATGTTATAAAGAGAATTCAAGTGGGGCCCACCATTAAAAAGCCAAAAAAAAAAGAGGGGTGCGATTTTCGAAATAAAAGAAAATGAGATAACTATCTTATATAAAATGAGAGTAATATTTTCCTATATATATGAAAAAATATTTCTACAGCCACTTTAGATAAGGTTATCTACAACTACCCAAAAATTACGTCGTTTTGATTAATGAGGGATGTTTCTGTAATTTTAGGTGAATTAATGAAGGGTGTTTTTTATCATATACATTTTACTAAAACACCCTACATTAATTCACCTAAAATTACATAAACACCCTTCATTAATCAAAACGATTTAGTTTTTGAGTAGCTGTATATAACTTTATCTAAAGTGAGTGTAGAAATATTTACCTCATATATATATATATATATGGTTAATCTTTTCTCATGTTATATGAGAAAAGATAAATCTCCTACACACACAAAGTAGATGAGAGAAGAAAGAGAATAAAGAAGAGAGAAAAAGTATAGAGTAGACTTCATTTTTTTTTTTTTTTTGGTGAAAAGTGGACTTCACCTTTAATTTATGTGTAACATGAAAAAATATTAATCCATATATATACAGGAAAAAATGTATCCAATGTTACTTTAGACAACTTTGTCTAATGTTCATTGAAACGACGTCGTTTTGGAGTTGAAAAATAAAAAACTTAGAATGATAAAGACTATTATAACCCTAAAATAAATTAAAATTATAAAAATATCATGATTTTCATCCAAAACGACGTCGTTTAGGTGAACATTAGATAAAAAATTTTAAGGTAATTTTAGAAAAAACAAACTCATATATGTATATATATATATATATATATATCGGACAAGTTATATTTACAAACTTTTACAAATTACACTATCTTCTCCCGGGAGAACACTGATTACACTGTGTTTTCCGAATACTGATTATATTGTGTTCTCCCAGGAGAACATAGTGTAATTTGTAAAAAAAATTTAAAAAAGTTTGTAAACGGATCTTTTCCCTATATATATGGGGTTTGTATTTGTCATTTAATATGACACAACAAATTTTCCTACACACACAATATTTTATAGGGCCCACATTTTTTGAAGAAGAAAAAAATAAAATTATGGCACGTAAAACGAATATTTCTGACATTACACAATCACTTTACCTCCGACATAAAGCTTATAAAACATGTATATATAAAAACCCTTCAAATAGTCTACTCAGCCAAACATCAAGTGGATAGCAACGTCATCGACCACAATTCTTTAGAAAGAAATTTTTTTTTTTAGTCAATTCAGGATGTCTTCACATGATAGGATAAGACTAATTTCATCCTGACTTAGAACAGTAAAATTTTCGCCACTTGTCTCAAAGTATTTCTCGGAATCCCTGATGGTTAGAGCACCATAGCAAGCAAGTACTCCTCTTCCTCATTTGGACACCAACTTCTCTTTGCGTTTTCAGTTCCTTTACACAATTCACCGCCCCAATATAAAAAGGGAAAAGAAAAACAAATACTTATCCTCACTAAACTTCCTTAAATTTCAACATAAAAGTTTATTTGAAAAATAACATGTTACGTACGTGAAAAAAAGAAAAAGCAGCACAATTAAAATGCGAATTTTTCGGTGGAAACAGAAGTGAATATGGGGTCCCAAGTTTTATAATCACGAGGAATATTGTATAAAACACAAACACCGGTAAGAAAGTTTAATTTGTGGTGTTTGTGTTTGTGTTCGTTGTACCTTACTTACTTGTTTAATGAATTGTTATTAACCATGCCAGTCTGTGATTGATTGCTTTGGTCTATATTTCATGTCGGCTTCTTCACTTCACACATCACAAACATAAATAAAGCTGTCTTGCTTTTGTCCAGCCTCTGTTTTCATCACCTTCTCTTCTTCACTTCACATTAGTACCTACCCATTTCATGCTTTTCCATTTTTTCTTACTTCTCTTTTTTCCTGTGTCCACCCTCATGAATATGGTGCCTGCAAGGTGATTCTTTATGTCATCAACGTATCTGGGGGATGAGCCTTTTTTCTTTTTTCTTTTTCTTTTTGATGTTTGGTGTTGCTATTGAAATGGTTCTGCTGCACAGGTTATGACTTCTTGGACTTCATCGGCTTCACTTGTGTTCCATTCTTTGCTGATGCGGACTGTTTCAGCTCAAAGTGCTTGTTTTCGGTGTTTTGATTAGTCCAACCAGAAAAATTCCATTGTTGGGATTTGCTCCTATTTGAGATTTGGCACTGACATGACATTTGTGCTGGGTGGCTTGAGTTCTCGAATATTAAGCTTCTAGTTGTTGAATTTGGAATACTTGAATCCCGTTTTGGTCGGAGTTAGCAATTAGTTGCATTTCCGGGGAGAAGGTTAAGCTTTTTGTTGATTCTACTCAATATTATCGGAGACTTTATTCTGGGCACTGTTGGAGATTCTTCTTCTCCGTGTTCGTTTATGGGGTAGTGCTGCTGCTGCTGCTATTGGAGGATGAGTTGCAGTTAGGATTATCTTCTTGTGAAAATCTTAGGGAACAAAGTCAAATCTTGTTGCTAGAAAAGGCCAGGTGTTAAATTTATTTTTCATAGGTCGTAATGAAGACTCCACCCAATGGTTACTTGCCTAATTCTGGCGAAGGTGGGTTTTCTCAAGGTTTACTGCCTCATTTTCTCTCTCTCTCTCTCTCTCTCTCACTGCTTGTGTTTTCCAGTTTCATCTTACATAACCCTGTTCAGTGACTCCGAGGATGATAGTTTTCAACGAAAATGCTACTTTTTTTTTTTTATTTGTTGAATAAATTTAATAGCATTACAGATGGAATAAATGTGGCCATATGACATGTTCTTGTCCAAAAAATGGATGGCTGTTAAATGGTTGTCTTAGATATCCTACATGCATTAATTCGCCAATTTTTATGAAGAAAAATTATGAAGGGAACGGTTTTCAATCTCACTTTGTAGATGCTGATCTTTTACATAATTTTTCTTTTGTTTAGCCGGCCCTCTTCTCCAGAAGATATGTCTTTTTCACCCTGAACTGAATATCTGTGATACTGTGGCTTATTCCTTCATCTTTAATTTGTTGCATATTTCTCTCCCCTTATTTTTCCTTTATGTCATTTTTTATTCTCTTCTGAATTAAAGTAAAAGCAGTTTTAGTGTTAATCACCAAGGTCCATTGTGCTTTGGATAAAATCTGTGTTTAACTTGTTTACATACTTTGGGAAATCTGTATATTCGGTTTGGTTTTTGATTGAGTGTGGTAATAATATGGCAAATTGTGAGAAAGGGTCAATTTTTGCTTCTGAAGTTTAATTGCGAGAAGGAAAATAATAAAATTTCTCCTTCTGGACTTCGTTAAGTTACTATGAACTTTCTCAATAGTTATATTTGCGCCTGTCATCTTTAGTTGGAGTAAAGCTTGCTTTCCCTTGAAAAGGAGCATCCTATTCTAAGCCCATGCCCCATATGAAGTTGTGTTTCTTTGAGCTCTTAAAACTTGTTTTTGTTGTGTATTATAGAGCATGGATTCAACAATTTCAGTCTTTTTCTTCTTCGTTTCCACTCCACCCATACAGTCATAAAGAAGCATTATAAAAACTTTTAAAGCTAACATTTACTTTATAATATTTGAATATTTCTGTTAAAAGGAGTAACATTTTTTTTGTTTTGATAATAGGAGAAAGGAAGACCATCAATTCAGAGTTATGGCATGCTTGTGCTGGACCTTTGGTTTCTTTGCCTCCTGTTGGAAGTCTTGTGGTTTACTTCCCACAAGGACACAGTGAGCAAGTATGTTTCTTCTGCCATGATTCTATGAACATGATATACATTTCTGTATTTTGGTTGCTGATGGAAGCTTCTTTTCACTTCTGTACCTTTCAGGTTGCAGCGTCCATGCAAAAGGAGACTGACTTCATACCCAGTTACCCTAACCTTCCGTCCAAGTTGATTTGCATGCTTCATAATGTTGCCCTGCATGTACGTGCACTTTCCAGTTTCCAAACATGACATGACTGTTCTGCAATAATGAAAACTTGTGAAGAAGATTTTTTATAATTTTTATGATGTATATTTCATCTCCACTGAGATTTACTTTCCTTTAGTGACAATTTTAGATCATGCCTAGTTATCTGAATAAACTAGTTTGTTAAGAATGTTTTTTTGTATGAATTTTTTTTGACATTTCTGGATAATGTATATAAATTATCTTAGTTGTCTTCAGCTACATCTTAATCTTATAGTTGAACATTCTACCTGTATTTTTGTTTAATCTTCTGCTTTTCTTGTTGTATGTCATTCACCACCACACCAGATATATACCAACCTGGGAGGATAAGCAAAATCATGCCACAATATTAATTTCACAATAATTTGATATAATGATCTGTCTAAAGTTTTCTTATGGGGAAATCTATACACATATATTGATATTCTTGTGAATTTTGGATCAGGCTGATCCTGAAACAGATGAGGTCTATGCCCAGATGACTCTTCAACCTGTAAATAAAGTAGGTTTGCTGTTCAATCTGAGAATTTGATTATGGTATCTGGGTTTTATTTCCCACCTTTTCTTTAACGTTCTCTCAAGCAAATGATGTGTAAGTTGTAACTATATCAAAGATTGTTTGATTTGCCTCTTCTACAGTATGAAAAGGAAGCAATACTGGCATCAGACATGGGTCTCAAACAAAGCCGTCAACCTACTGAATTCTTTTGCAAAACTCTTACAGCTAGTGACACAAGCACTCATGGTGGATTTTCTGTGCCTCGTAGAGCAGCTGAGAAAATATTCCCACCTTTGGTGCGTGTAGAACATTTACATTTTCCTTGATTCTTTGTGGAAATAATTGCAAGAGGCTTACGAGATACATCTGGGTTTTCCGCCGTATGCTGACCATAAGTGTGTTTGATAGGATTATTCAATGCAACCTCCCGCCCAAGAGCTTGTTGCCAAAGATTTGCATGACAATACTTGGGCATTTAGACATATTTATCGGGGTATTTCCTCTTTAACATATTCTTCATTCATTGCCATCTTTTTTTAATATGTCGTCATTAGTATGTTATATGCTTTATTGATGAATCATTGAAATCCAGTATTTGCCAAACCACCAAGGCATATATTATCTCGTCGGTTGATCTTAGAATCATCTTATCAGTTGTTTGACCAAATTATGAATATAGAAGCTGTTCAATTGATGTTTTACAAAATATGAATGCTGAAATTGCTAGCATATGGCTACAGGACAACCAAAGAGGCATCTATTGACTACTGGTTGGAGTGTATTTGTCAGCACAAAAAGACTGTTTGCTGGAGATTCTGTTCTTTTTATCAGGTAAGAATATATTTTTTTTATGCAGGAATTTCAGGAATATTTTGATTCCTTGTTGCTGAGAAAATTGTTTTTTTTTGGGGAAATTTTTAGAGATGAAAAACAGCAACATCTTTTAGGTTTAAAGCGTGCTAATAGACAGCAGCCAGGACTCTCTTCATCAGTAATATCCAGTGACAGCATGCATATTGGCATACTTGCTGCTGCAGCTCATGCTGCTGCAAATAACAGCCCATTTACTATATTTTACAATCCAAGGTACTATTTGGCATGTATGTATGTATGTATTAATATGACACGGAATGGCATCCATTGAATATTTGTAACAGAATCTTACTGAAACGGACAATTTAACAGGGCCAGCCCCTCTGAATTTGTTATTCCATTGGCCAAGTATAACAAAGCCATGTACACTCAACTTTCACTTGGAATGAGATTTAGAATGATGTTTGAAACCGAGGAGTCTGGAGTACGCAGATATATGGGTACAATCACTGGGATTAGTGACTTGGATCCTGTCAGATGGAAAAGTTCACAGTGGCGCAATCTTCAGGTATTATTAAACCATTTCTTTTTTATGAAGAAATAGATGCATTATTTGAATAACTAGATATGACCGTAGAAAAAGTTATTTCGCTCTATTTCCTATTTTATGGAATTGGTATGAAGAATATTTTCCTAGTGCCTATAGTTTCTATAGACTGGTTAATTATTTAACAAGATGTTTTTTTGTTTCCTTAGTTTTGAGTAACTCATAACATCCATTATGGTCTACTTGGCCCTCTGTTTTTGTCTCCCATGGTAGTAGTATCTGCCTTACTGTAGTTTTACGGATCCTCTTTATTGGCTTATTGAGGCATTCATGTTTGAACTATTGATAGGTTGGATGGGATGAATCAACAGCTGGCGATCGCCCAAGCAGAGTTTCAATTTGGGAAATAGAGCCAGTAGTGACTCCTTTCTACATTTGTCCACCTCCATTTTTTAGGCCCAAGTTCCCCAGGCAACCAGGAATGCCAGGTAGCAAGAGTCACCCCTTAACTAGTTCAGCTTTAATGCCAAGATTCCTTACTGGCCTCCATTGATATCTCTGGTTCACTCACTGCCTAACAAAAAACTTCCTTAGATTGTTTTCTCCTTGTAAACTGTAAAGAACAATTCATCTAATTAAATAGAATATCTATTTCCTCTTCAACACAAATATAAGGTGTGGGGAAATTCAATACTGGTTATAGATATACTCAATATATGCCTCACACACATATATAGACATATAGTTGTAAAGAACCATTTCAATCCAAAAGCTTAACTTGTTGGATGAGGCTATATTAATGGTTTTATATTTCTCTAACTATAGTCCGTAAACAGTGTGGTATAGAATTTTAGTTTAGATCCACTAAATTGTCATGCTTATTAGAACTTAATTTAAAGAATTGGTTTGCAGAGCCACAAAATGACTTTGATGTGAATCTACTGGTCCATAATTTTCTTGTTTCCCTTTCTACATTGATATATGAGGTTATGATTCTTCTGTCGTGCTTCTAACATTGACCATCGAGAACATAAATTTTGTTCATTCTATTGGTCATCTCTTGTTAAAAAGCTGGCAATAACTAACTGTATTAGTTGACAATACTCGATAAGTTTACTGCTCTTGGAGTGAAGCTCACATTATGAAAATGACTCCCGATTGTAATATCATTTTTGAAGTTTATCATTCATAAAACCCGCATTTTATTCTCATCCCACCCTAGCATGTTGTGCATGATAAGCGGTGACAGATGATCCTTGCGATTGATTTTGCAGATGATGAGTCTGATATAGAAAATGCTTTCAAGAGAGCTGTGCCCTGGCTTGGAGATGACTTTGGCATGAAGGAAGCCTCAAGTTCAGTCTTTCCTGGTTTGAGTTTAGTGCAGTGGATGAGCATGCAGCAGAATAATCAGTTCTCTGCTGCTCAATCAGGATGTTTCCCATCCATGCTTTCACCTAATACTCTGCAAAGTAACCTTAGCACTGATGACCCATCCAAGTTATTGAGCTTTCAAGCTCCTGTCCTCTCTGAATCGAGTCTTCAATTTAACAAACCTAATTTACCAAATCAAATCAACCAATTGCAGCAGTCCCCAGCATCATGGCCTCAGCAGCAACAACAACTGCAGCAGCAGCAGCAACAACAACTGCAGCAACAGCAACAACAGCAGCTACATCATCAACAACAGCAACAACATCAGCTGCAGCAACAGCAGCAGCAGCAGCAACAGCAACAACAACAGCTACATCATCAGCAACAGCAACAACATCAGCTGCAGCAACAACAACAGCAGCAGCAGCTGCAGTCATTGTTGCAAATACCTATGAACCAGCTCCAGCAGCAGAGGCAACAGCAGCTGCCTGAACCACAAAACCTGCCATTGATGCAGCAACAACTGCCTCAGCAGATGGGACAGCAGCCACAGAAACAGCAACAGCAACAGCAACAGTCATGTCAAAATACTATTATGAATAATGGTGTAGTTGCTTCTAACCAGATTACAAATCAGTTTGTACAGCAACCAGTAGGCTACGCTCAGCTTCAGCAACAGCAATTACTCTCAGGAGGTATTCCAGCCCAGCAAAGTATCCAGCCGGCTAGTAAGAATACATTCCCACTGACATCCCTAACACAAGACTCGCAATTTCAGCAACAGATAGACCAGCAAGCTAGTCTCTTACAGAGGCAGCAGCAACAGACACAGTTGCAACAATCTCCAATGCGGTTGTTACAACAAAGCCTGCCACAGAGGGAGCCACCAGTGACTCAAATGTCACAGCAAAACCCCTCGGAGCAACAACTACAGCTACAGTTGCTAAAGAAATTGCAGCAACAACAGCAGCAGCAGCAACTTCTTTCCACTTCTAGCCCACTTTTGCAGTCTCAGCTTCTACAGCAACAAAATATTCACCAACAGAACCAGCAATTACTGCAGCTTCCTATATCTCAGCATCAACCTCTACAGCTTGGCAATAATGCCTTCTCAACAGAGAAGCTTCTCAATAGCAACAATTTCTCTTCTTCAGCTCTTGTACAGTCACAACAGCTTCCTGCGAATCAATCCCAGAATACACAGAAATCACTTACAATTACTAGAGCTCCCTCTACACTTACAGATGGAGATACCCCCTCATGCTCAACCTCACCATCTACTAATAACTGCCAGATATCTCCATCAAACCTCCTAAAAAGAAATCAACAAGTACCAGCCACATTAGGGAGGAGTTTGGTAGTTGAACCCACTAGTAATCTGATTCAGGAGCTTCAGAGTAAGTCTGACATGCAGATCAAACACGAGTTCCCCAGTGTAAAAGGACCTGACCAGCTAAAGTATAAAGGGACAATTACTGATCATCTGGAAGCTTCTTCTTCTGGAACATCTTATTGTCTTGATCCTGCTAACGTCCAGCAGAACTTGCCATTTTCCAACTTCTGCATGGATGGGGATGTCCAATCTCACCCTAGAAACAATCTACCATTCGATAATCTTGATGGTCTATCGCCTGATACTATGCTTTTAAGGGGATATGATTCTCAAAAAGATCTTCAAAATTTGTTGTCTAATTATGGTGGTGCTCCAAGAGACATTGAAACTGAGCTGTCAACTGCTGACATCAGCTCACAGTCATTTGGAGTTCCAAGCATGCCTTTTAAGCCTGGTTGCTCAAGTGATGTTGGCATAAATGATACTGGGGTTTTGAATAATGGCTTGCGGGCTAACCAAACTCAACGAATGCGAACATATACTAAGGTTTGTCATTTTTTGACAATTGCAAATCTATTTAGGTTTGGTATATATTTACTCTCTGCATTGTGTGCCTCGATGTTTAATGAATTGTAGGCATGTTTGCAATTTTAAGGTGCAAATTAAACTTCATTGGGATTTATATATTTTAGTAGCTCTATGCTTCTTATAGACTATAGATCTGGATTCTGAGATTCCAAGCTTGACTGTAGGGAATCCCCATTCTGGTCGTTGTTTCTCCTTTTCTTTTTATCTTACATTTCTCTATCTCTTCGATGTTTTTCTAAAGAAAAAAGAAATGGATTGTATTTCAGCATCCATTTACTAGTCTGAGCTGCAAGCTGAAGGAAATATTACTGCAGTTTAACGACATGAACGTTTTTTTAAGTTCATTTCTAGTAAGCTTATGCTTTTGTTATTTTTAACATTTCCAGCCCAACATTCATATGTTTTGTCTATGGTTTTTGAGTCCAACTCAATTCATTTCTAAGTTCATTTTGTTTTACTAGAGAGCTTCTCGTTAACCTTTTTTTCCATCTTGTTTAGTCTCTAATGCTATTGTATCTTTGTAAATTACCTTAAACCTGCACTTTGTACTACTCTTTGTATTGTCCTTTCGGAATATTTGGTAATATACTATTATAGTTGTGAGGGGTGTTACATCATTAATGTCATTCCCGAAGCAGTGCCATCTGGAAAACCACCCTCTAATGCTTTAGCCTTGCCTGCCTGTGTTTTGTATTCTTTAGATGATGTATTCAAATGTTCTACAAATTTTGTAGGTTCAAAAGCGTGGCTCTGTTGGAAGATGTATTGACGTCACCCGTTACATGGGATATGATGAACTCCGGCATGATTTGGCCCGAATGTTTGGGATTGAAGGGCAGCTAGAAGATCTTCAAAGGACTGACTGGAAACTAGTTTATGTGGATCATGAAAATGACATTCTTCTTGTTGGTGATGACCCTTGGGAGTAAGTAGTTAATTGCTTGGTAGTTTGTAGGCCTACTATTTCTGCAATTCTGGTTTGTTTTCTTGACCTTCGATGTAAAATTCCTTGCAGAGAATTTGTAAGTTGTGTCCAGAGCATAAAGATATTGTCATCTGCTGAGGTGCAGCAAATGAGCTTGGATGGGGATTTAGGTAATGTTCCAATCCCCAATCAAGCTTGCAGTGGGACTGACAGTGGCAATGCATGGAGGGGACAGTATGATGATAACTCTGCAGCCTCATTTAATAGGTAAGGATGTCAAATACTGACATTTTGGAGCAGTCAACTTGTTGATTCTGAGAGGAGGAAAACCAACTTAACCTTTAAAACTTCTGGTTGGTGTTTCTTTATATCACAAATGGAAAGGAGACATATTCATTACAAATGATGCAGTTGATGGGGTATTGTAGAGAGGTGGACACATAATTGCATCCTAATTCTGTGTCACCACTTTAATGGTGAGAAATTTAGATCCTTAGATGTACCAAGGACAGATTCCTTTACTGTTAATGTTACATATCCTACCTTGGAATCAGTTTTCTTGTGGATGTTGAGCTAGGATTTTTTTTATATTTTTCTTTTATCATTTTTTGCAAGGTACGGCAGTATAGTGTATGATATGACCGTTCCTATAAAAGATTAATTTTTACTTAGCTCTCTGTAAAACTTGCGATGGTTTAAAGTTATAAACGAAAGTGAGGTGTCTAATTGATGGCTGGGACAATTAAGAATGCACGCCAATTCTAGCTATTGTGTAAATTTCCTAGGCTGTTTCCGTTGTGGCAATCATGGAAGAAGTTCTTTTATGGATGAAGATAACTTTAACCATTGTATAAAGTTCCTGGGAATTTGCCTACGTCATTGGCTTGCCTTAACCATTTGAGAAGCATTCGGCTAGAAAGGAACATCGTTAATATAGTCCTTGAAACCATAGAATTATAAGATACAAGACCAAGTTTATTTTGGGATTTCTTTCCATATATTTGTATGTTGGATCTCCTAACAAGTTAAAGGAACGCCTTCCGAAGACGTTGTCCTTGAAATGCAATTTTGTAGACAGTTGAATTGAGTTTTAATTATTTGGGAAGAGTAGTCCGGTATGATCCAGCCCGAAATAAATCCTATTGTTAAACAAAAAATGACATGTTCATGTGAAAAAATCATAATCATATAAAGGTGAATCAATGGTTATAATTTTATAACTATCAATTTCAATATTCTTTCTCTTTTTTTATCACTATTAATCCACATTTATATGGTTATGATTTCTCACATGATCAATCATATCATTTTTTTTAACGCTAGAAATTCACTCCCCAAAACTAATAGTTTATCAGTCCTGTGAAAGAACCATAAGTCCAACCTGTTTCCCTAGGACCAATCTATATTGATGGAATTCCTGCAAGGATGATTTTAACACCTTCACCTCGATATCTCCAGTTGAACAGCAACAACCTTGCTGGGTAGCTGCCTTCAACCTTGTAATATTACAGCAACATGTACACAATTGATCTCGGAGCAAACAGGACCGAGTGGCTTGGGCAAAACCAATCTTGTATCAATATACTAAGGTTACTAGGCAAATATCCCCGAAAGTCTGTGGTGCCTTTCACAACTCCGTGTTCTTGATCTTGCATGTAACAAGTTGTATGGTCGTATTCCTGCATGCATGGGCAAAATGCTAGTCCTTGAACTGGTCTTGGAATCAGTTGAGAGGGAGCATACCAGCAGACATTGGAGCACTGCCTCAACTAAAAAGTCTAAACCTTTCAAGCAACCATCTCTCAGTTGCGTTGGTGACTTGGTGGTTTAGCATATACTTTTGAGCCATCTGAACTTGTCTCATAACAACTTGTCTGGCGAAATATCAAGTAATAATCAATTCCAGACCCTTCCATCTCATGACAAGTTATGTTCTATTTAAGCGTAGTACTGGGTTGCTGGGTGAGATTTCTGAGTTGCTTGCCGCAGCTTGGTGACAAAGAGATCTTGGAGACATGTCTACTTTCGGCTTGTTGATACGCCAAGTTCAATTGAATTCTTATAAAAAAAAATTTCGGCCTTCAAGCAACTGGCTGTCATAGCATTGGCTACTACGCGTTGACCTATTGGTTTATGAATTGCCTTCGTTATAGTACTTTTCTTTTTTCTTTTTTTATTTCTTGCCCCTGTTAATTCATATTAATTGCCTCTCCTTTCCGGATTGGATGCTTATATATGTCTTGTGGATTTCCTTCAATTTCTTGTTCCTGGAATCGAATCAAAATCGTTTTTTTCTCTCTAACCAAACATTTAGTCCATAGGCCATGGTAGAATAAATATCCATTTCCCTCGACATTTAACGCACAAAAATTGAAGTTACCAAATAAAAATTTGTTACTAGGAAAGGACAGCCATAACATCCGAGGCCCTTAAAGCAATGTAGTCAGAACCATCTTTGCCCTTGAAGTCATTCCCCGCATATTTGGAGTACAGAACTGTATTCCCTGGTGTGATTGATAACGGTTTTCTGTTACCTTCCTCATCCAGAGGCCCTGGACCAACTGCTATCACCTGTAACATTCATAATAGAGCAGAAGATTATGAACTAATCTCAGAAACTGAAGAGCAAGATTTATTCGAAATCATTATTTCAAGCAAACCATTGTTACTCCACAACAAAGGTACCCGTCTAAAACAAGGAAATACAACACTAGCAAGTATCAATTAAATTATCCAAAACATATTCTATCTACTCAGGCAATTTTTTTCAGGAGTGTTGTCAATATTAACTATAATATCTTATAAAACACAACTAATGGGAAAACTCACTGTTCCAATAGATGGTTTCTCCTTAGTTGCCTCTGTGAGCAACAGACCTCCAGCAGTTGTTTTCTCAGCTTCTGCAACCTGTAGTAAATATTTAACCAAATCAATAGATACCATCATTATCACAAGCATGTCAGACAAGCACAAATTATATTGTCTGTAAATGCTACACCCTTAATGCAAAATACAGCTAAAACAGAGAATTAAATGTGCAGAACATCAATACAACTCGAGTATTAGATTATTAAATACACAATTGACAAATGATCCGATGCCATTCACCATCTAACATCAAACATCAAAATAAACAAAGCTATAAAGAGTAAGCACCTTTATCAAGACTCTATCATTCAAGGGTTTAAGATCCTTGACCTCATCGGTTTCAAGGATACCAATGATGTCATCGTCCTTCAGTATAAGATGTTTTGAACCATTAAACTCCACCTCAGTCCCTGCATACTTTGAATACACAACTTGTGCACCTGTCTGTACAAAGAAATGCATCACATAAGTTTAAAATTAGTAAAAGCAACACCCCACCTCCCACAAAAAAGAAAAAATGATGATAGATTAAAGGGTTAACGATTTCCTAAATAGTAAAATCACCTTCACACAAATGTCCACTTTGCTCTTCCCAACTGACTTCCCTTCTCCAACAGCAACCACCTCACCTCCTTGAGGCTTGCTTTGAGCAGTTGTTGGCAGTATAATTCCACCCTCAGTCTTCTCTTCTGCATCCTTAATTTTTACCAGTACTCTATCTCCCAGAGGCTTAACAGAGGTGTGCTGCTTAACAAAATGACCAATTAGGCACAAGTAGCACTGAATTAAAACATATATGTAAAAACCAAAATACTAGAAATAGAAAAAATCTCAGGGGCCAGGACTTATATATCAACAATCATGTTAGGTTCCATTACAAAGACTACCCAGAAAAGAAGCATCCAAACTATAATGTCTGTCAATTTACAAGCAAAATAAGATAGAAAGTTGGACCCACTTCGATATGAAAATGAAAGATAATAGGAAACGAAAATAAGTGGTAGAAAATTGTTTCAATAAAAAAAGGAAAGATATATCACATGTGTTCATCAGCTGCGTTTCCAATGCTCTCAAGCATAAAACCAAATGAATTGCTTTTTCCAAAGAGTAATTTTACCAAACCCACCAGACTCAATAAACAGGACAAAACCTTCAAAATGCTAGTCCAAGAAGAGTTTTGCTAATGCTAATATTGGACTTTCCTAAAACAATCACAATAGGTTCTTACGCAAAGAGCATCAGATTGTACGACTGATGCTCCTTCTTCCGGGAAGGAATTGTGGCAATGTCACAAGCTGGACAAACCATAAATAGCAAATGAAGCACATAGGTGAAACGCATTCAAATTTTTCTCAGATGTAATCAACAACCCAAGACCCAAAAAGATAAAATTTAAAAAAAAAAAAGTACCTTAGGGGCGACAACAGTGACGGCTTTGACAACCAGAGACGGGAACGACCTTTGTGTGAGATTGCCAAATCGTATATTCCTGATTGAATGAAATTGAAGCGCTGAAGGTCGAAATCCTTCAAATGACGGCAAGTTCCTCGAAGAAATCGAGGACGCAGTAAGCTGAGCGGTCGCCATCGGAGCGTGTTCTTCCTATCTGCTCAACAAATGAATTAAAATAAAAAAATTAAACTACGCTACGAGAACAGAACATGTACGAGAATCAATGCTTTTAGAGTCAGTGTTCTTCGAGCATATTTTATGTCGTTTCTCGAATGATTTTTACTTGAAGCGAGCAAACGGTTATCCTTCGAGATTAGGTAGTTATCCAATTAAATTTTCTTAATTTTCCCGACAAACGAAAAGCTTAGTCGTTTAAGGGGACAAAAATAGAACTTGAGTAGAGAATGTACCTTAATCAAAAGAATGCTACGAAGCTTGTGAAGTGGAGGATCTATGAAAAGATAAACCCTAAACAAATTGGGGTTTTATCCGATAATAGAGCCTTCTAGAATTCTCAACTCAAGAGACTTAGTGTGGCAGTGTGGTTTACGCGCCTGTCGTGTTCATGTGATATTGTCCGGTAAAAATAAATGGAAAACATTTTTTCATATTGTACGAAAATTTATTTCTGTTATAAAAAAAAAAATTTAATTCTCATGGTATGACATTTTGATTTGTGTACAAAGTTTTTTTTTTTTTAATAAATGTGGAGTCTACAAATAATTAAGTGACAACATAAAAATTAAATTCTCATGCAATACGAGAAAATCAAACACAAGAATAAAAATTATTACTGTTATCCATCAAAATTAACTTTTATAGCATTGTTAAAAGCAACGGTTTAAGAAGGCCTCAAAAAGAGACCAACATATAGCGGAACCAAAAGTCCAAAACTCTTATGGGACAAAGTAAAAACAAGCCCAGAATGTACCCAAAAAAAAAAGCCCAGAAAACCTCCTATGGTTCCAACCCTAATTGTAGATTCAGGGCCGTTTGGTATGCGAGATTCTTGAAGATTTTTGAGAAATTAAATTTTTCTAAATTTTTAATTTTCAGATATTATCGTAAACTGTATGTAAAAATCATATTTTTAAAAATTGAGATTCTCAGATAAAAAAAAAAAAAAAATTCTCTACCAAACGTCCCCTCAAGGTAATCCGACTCAAGCTCTTGAAACAACGTCAGCATGACCTACTCAAATATTAGGATCACATTATAATTTTTTTTTAAATAATTGTAGCATTTTAAATTTTAAATAAAATTACATTACATGTGTTAAAATTTTAAATATGAATAAATCCAAACCATGAAAACAATAATTAGAAGCAAGAAGGGCATACAAATATAAAAAAAAAACAATTAGATTTTTAATATCAATCCTATGGGAAATTCACTGCTGGTAAAAATAGTATATAACAAAATTATTTTGATAAACAAAAATTTAGTTAAAAATATTAAATATTTAATGAGTAATAGCCCATATAACAAAATCAATAAGCACACATCAACTCTCAAGTCTTAATAAAGGCTTGCAGTCCACGTTAATATTTGAATTGAGAAACATGTGGGCAAAAGTATGTATAACAAGCAAATGATATAGCACATACAAAATGATAAAAAATAATTAATTAGTAACTAAATGATGAGTAAGCTAATTAACCCAACTAATATTCCAACCAACCTATGTATACTAACAATACTGTGAAAGAATTGGTCTTTTTTGTCCTGAATTTTATAATATATAAAAAAACTTCTAACGTTATTTTAAGTGAAAAATTATTCTTGTAAAGAATAATGCCCGAGTTTATCATTTATAAGTATACATTTGTTTAAAAAAATAGAAATACCTTAAATTCTTTTAAAATACAATTCAAACGCTCACAACCAAACACTTATTTTTGGGTAATTAGACATTCAAGCATACTTGACATCAATTTAAAGTAAATAATATAAATTATTTTACTAAAAACTTATTTACCAGTAAAGTTAAGATAATACACAATTAAATTTTTAAAATCTAATACATTAAAAAAAATCATATGAACTACGTCACTGATTGGTACTGAAAACGACAGTGTTGGATGGGTGAGGCAACCCGATATCCTGATGAGGAATGAAAATGACCAGATTATGAGAATGGAGAAATAACAAGCATAGTCTCTCCCAGGCTGGGAGGCAGAGGCGGAGGGAGGGGGGCTAGGGCTTGGCGACCGCCCCCTTCCAGAATTTGATGAATTTTTTTCTTTTAATAATTTTTTAAAATGTTCTGGAGGTAGTTATGGAGATGAATGTTCTGGAAGTGAGTATAGTAACGAGCATGAAGATCATTTTGGTGGAGGATATGATATGACTACGGAGACTAGAATATTGAAGGCTTTTTCTGAAAGCACTGATTTTAGTAAATATATATTATGATAAGGGTTATGCATGTATAGTCTGTAGATACTAATAATTATGTGTAACCTTACGTTTGAGTTTTAAACCTTTAGTATTTTGTATAATAGTTTTTTAGTATCTCTTTGTTTGTTGCTTCATACTTAGCAACATTAATTCTACCATGGCAATATACTTCTGTATTTCACCTTGTAATAAAATAAATCACGAGATTATTGTATATCTTGTTAAGGTTGTTTTACTCTCTCTCTTTCTTTTCTTTTTTACTATTCCTATTGTAAATTTTGTGGTGTGTGAGGGTGGTTATTGTGTGTGTTTTCTTTTTTTCTAGCCCTGCTACTTAACAAGAGTATATAGTATTAAAATTTATATTTCTTATTATTTTTTTAAATAAATCATTTTGATCCTTTTTTTGGATACAAGTTGTAATTGAACACATAATCTAACATACCAAAATCCCTCACTAGATCAATTCTAATGGCTACACTGGATTTGGTGTTTTATTCAATAAATTTTACATTTTTTGGATGAAAAATTGAGTGAACAAAATCTAGATTTGGTGGTATTAAATTTCTTAACATTTATTACACATGGTTATAAAAAAAGAAAAAAAAATCCGTCCCCTCTAATTAACAATACTGGCTCCGCCTCTGCTGGGAGGGGAGTAGATTTTTGGTGCAACCACTATATATTTTTTCTAATAAAAAATAGAAAAAAAAAAGAGAATATTGAAGAAAATAATTATTAAAACAACAGTAGTATAAAGATTTTTTTTCATATTTAATAAATAATGTATCGAATAATCGCTATATCTATAATACCGAAAATATTTCGTAGGAGGAAGCTCATTCATGACGTAACGTAGAGGTCTCCATTCCCGCACGTGGATGTGCGTGTCTGCTGTTTCCCTGACCCTATTCAAGAATTTTCATTTTTTCTTTATTTATATATTATATAACTAAATCACGTTTATTATAATACAAAAAAGTCAATAAAAGTGAATGAAATGTATTAATAGTTCGTATAAATAAAGACAATATATTTTCTCATGTTAAATAAAAAAAAATTTATTTCATGCACATATAAAAAATTAAATGAGATCCACTTTTTTTTTTATCTCTTTTTTTAGTGGGTCACACCCACTTTTTCATTTAATATGAGAAACTATATTCTCATAAATAAAATAGGATACATTAAATAATATAGAGATTTTTTTTATTCTTTTTCTGGTAAACATTTTTTTAATTGTTTTTAAGAGTATATGAGAGTCATACAATAATTATACGTTTACATGACGATCTAAATTCATATTTTTATTTATGAGGATAATATTTTTCTTTTAGCTAATCATATATACTATTTGTTTAATTACCAAATAAATTATATATGTTATTTTTTAACTATTTATGCTTTACTAAGTTTTAAGATTTAATTTTATTCCCGTGTTTTATATTATTTATATATACAGTGAATTACATTTTGAAAAAAAAAAGTTATTAAACATTTGACATCAATTCAATCTATGATAAATATTATAACACGAAAAATATATAGCATGCTTAATCTTAAATAATTACGATATATATGTATTCTTTAAATTATTTAAATATATTATTTTTATAATAATAGCTCCTATTGTTATCAACTTATCATCAACTCCTATGATAGAATTCAGCCTATCACATAGATCTATTACTATAAAAATGGTGCCACCCCTCCTAAACCTCCCTTTTCTTTTCTGTGTGTGTTTTTTTAACATAAAAAAGGGAAACGACTAATGTAACACAATCCGGTTGGTTCGTTCCTCTTATTTATCTTAAATGAGAAAAAATAAAAAAATTATTCTCTTTTATAAAATATAAATATTTTTATATTTATTCAATTAATAAAATAAGCAATACAATATTATTAATTATCAATGAATGCTGGCATAGGTAATAATCATTGATGAAAAATTTGCATAAATTTATTAATTAAGTATAATTGTTCTTTAAATGTGTATCCTTATGATCAATTAATGGATCAAAATTTGTAAAAATATTCATATAATTAAATAAAACTGATTTTTAAACAAAAAGTAATTAATGATTTTAAAAATATTTCAACAATTCCTTTATGAGAAAGGATATTCTTACTACAAAAAAAATCCACTACCAATCTAATCACCATTAGATCAAAAAGAGAATGCTGAAAAGTTTCTAAAGAGAGAGAAAATACTGATCTAATGGTAATTAGATAGGTAGTGAATTGATAGTGAATTTTTTAAATAGTAAGAATATTCTCCTCTTCTTTTATAATCTAACTCCAAACAAAAATTTAGTTTTTATGGATTCTTACCAATTTTCAGATTCCATTATGTAACCTTGAGTTGTTACTCGTTACTAATTCCATATAATGTTCTGAAAAACCGCAACAACAAAAAAGTGCTAAATGAGATTTGTCATTGAAAATATTATTTATCAAGTATATTCAATTAGTTGATTATTTTCTAATATTTTGCTGAAATACAGTTATGGATGAAAATTTGTGTAAATTCATTAATTAATTATGATTTATTTAAAGAAATTTTTCATTCTTTAATTGATTATAAGTATACTCATTTAAAGATAATTATAAACAGTTATTAGATTTACACAAAATTTTTGTTAATGATTAATTACAGGTATTAGTGTTGATTGATAATTATTAACATAATAATATGGATAATATTCTTAAATATTTAATATTTGAAATAAATGAATGTAGGGATATAGGTGTTTTATGGAAAGAATAATAGGAAACTTTTTAATTATTTTTATTTAGATATAAATAATAATAATAGAAAAAGTTGCCCAAAGGAGAAGAGGGGGGGGGGGTTGCCATCAATCACCCTTTAATAACGTCAAACAGCCATCAAAGCATTAATCGGTCTGGAGAGTGAGCCAAATAAGGCATAAGAATCACTATTGGAAGGTGGTATCAAATCACATTTGAGTGTGGGAGGAGAAGACACCATAAAAGAGATGACATAGCTAAAAGAAGTGCACTTCCCGGTTCAAGAATTCGATTCCCGTGGTTAATGCTGATGTATCGAGAAATTGGTACTGTGCATGCCATGGACCAATATTTTGCGTAACTAATACACTAAAACCAAATCAATACAATCCTACCATATAAGGGTTAATGGTTTCTTATATCACATGTTGAGACAAGAAGTAGGTGGGCTTCACATGTTTGTTATGGGTCCCACATATTTTTTATTTTTTTTTGTAATAAGGTCCCACATATTTTCAGTTCGGCTTATTTGCCTGTTGTGTTAGCAAAGAAAAAAATCTTTTCCCATGGCATAAAAAATCATTACTCTTTGATTAAGTGATTGTTTGGATTTTCTTTTCTTTTTTAGTTTTATTTTTCTTATAAGTACGCAGAAGTTAGGCTAAATAGATTTTTATAAAAGTTTTTATACTAAAAATAATTTTTTTTTATATTACGAAAGAGTTCATTTTTTTTGGCAGTAAATACAGATACATTATCTGAATTGAACCCAAAACGACGTTATTTTGGGGCTAAAATCAAAGTGTTTTTATAATTTTAATTTATTTCTGGATTATAATAGTATTTATCATTATAATTTTTAATCTTTTAATCCAAAAATGACGTTGTTTTGAAAGTAAATAAAGATAACTTATCTCTAGTCACTATAGAAATATTTTTCTGATTAAGAAAAAAGTCAGAAGCCAAAAACTCCTAGAAGGAACTTTTTACTCGTATCAGCTTTTCTTGAAATGAGATTTGAGCTTTGAAGCTAAAAAATTTATGCAATCACCAAATAATTTTTAATTCTTTTAAGCCTTTTTTTTTAGTTTTAGTTGAAAAATAGCTTTTAACTTAAAAAAAGAGAAGATCCAAACAGGCTCTAAATTATCTATTGTTTAATATAAAGAGTATGATAACTAATAAATATAGGGTTTAATATTTATCTTGTTGTAAGAGAAAAAACCCTACATGCATAAAACCATAAAAGTGTATAAAATTCATATAAAAAAAAAAAAGAAAGAGGAAAAAATATGGAATCCATATAATTTTATGGGTTTGGTGTTTGTCATTTTAAATGATATAAGTTATGTCATTTTAGGAGAGAGATAGACACAAAAAACGGAAATTATGGGAGAGAGAAAGTGAGTGACTTTTTTTAACTTAAAATTTTAATTTTCTGTGTCTGTATCTCTCTTAAAATGACATAACTTTATGTGATTTAAAATGACAAACACTTTTTCCTAATTTTATATATACATATATAAAAATATATATTTTATTTCTTACAATGAAGCAATAAACCTATAAACATATGCTACCTTTCCCAATTCAGCATGTCTAAAGGAATCATGACATTTCTTTTTTTTTTTAACTCAGATTTTTTACCTACTTTATTCAGATTATGTTCTCAACTAAGCTACAGAATTGAGATATCGCTTTTTTAACTATTAAGTTCACGTGGATTACAAGACGAACGTGGTCCAACAATGTCACCTTCTACCAAAGGTCACAACGCGTAGCTACGAATTATCTGCCACGTATACGAACCACAGTGGGTACGTTGGGTTCGAAAACTTATGGACGCGCCTCGGGGAGTGTTGACCATTCACAGTGAGTCAAACTTCTTCACTCGCTTCAGCAATCAACCCTCGTAGCAATTCGGTCAAACTCATTCATGCACATATATATATATATATAGAGCCGCAAACCATTCACCAACACAAACCACAACAACAGCCAACGACAAATATTAATTCCTCAGCACAACCCAACGTACATCAAGTTTTCACAAAGCATAAAAAAAACATTCTTATTCTTTTGTTTTGCTTTTCCTTTGCTTTGCTACCTGTGACTGTGACTTGTTCGGAATCAAAAAACATATAACAAAAGATGGTGAAGCCGACCATTGGAAAACCCGAGGAGCAAAGCGAATCAAAGTACAGAGGGGTCCGAAAGAGGAAGTGGGGCAAATGGGTATCCGAAATAAGACTACCCAACAGCCGCCAGAGGATTTGGTTGGGATCCTACGACACTGCCGAGAAGGCGGCGCGTGCTTTCGACGCCGCCATGTTCTGCTTACGTGGCCGCAACGCTAGGTTTAATTTCCCTGATAACCCGCCCGATATCGCCGGCGGCAGGTCCATGACTCCCTCACAAATTCAGGCCGCCGCATCCCGTTTTGCCAACTCGGAGCCCCACGAGGGACATTCGGGTCGACCCGCTTCCACCGAATCGCCCGTGGGATGTTCGTCGGAGGGCACAATTTTGCATACTGAATCTCCGTCGCCTTCTCTCTCGGAGGGGACTGTCCAAACGGACAGTGACATCACCATGAACGGTTCGTTTCCGGATTTGTTCACCCCGATCGGGTCGAGTAGTCATGCATCCGATTATGAGATTTTTCCGGGTTTTGATGATTTTAGCGGTAATTTCTACGTGCCCGAAATGCCAAATGTTAATTATGGAGAAGAAAACATGGATGGATTGATAGTTGATGACTCTTTCTTGTGGAATTTCTGAGGATTGATAGTTGTTAACTATGGTCCGCTAAATCCTATTCACCAGCAAAGCGGGTCATGGTTGTGGATAGTTTTATTGTTTCCGGAACTGTAACAACAACCCGGGATTCTATCCGGGTTTGGATTGGTTAATTTTTACACTACCAATCCAAACCTCTGCTTATTTCTTTGCTGGTAACAATTTTTTATTTTCTTACCAAGAAACTATGGTGTCCATACCAGCATAAATGAGTAATGCAATTGTCAAAGATAATTGTAAATTTCTCGACAGATATGGTAATATTTTGTGATTCATTCTAACAAATTATAATATTTGATCTCATTCAAAGATAAAGAACTTATGTCTACCTTTTCTTTTTTTAATATTTGTGTTTATCACGTGTGTGTGGAAAGATACATGCATTCAAAAATTAAAATATAAAAATATGGTTCCCATGGTAGGTATAATAGTCCCATATTAAAGGATTATTTGAGACAGAGTTAGACAGACTGCTAGTAATATGGGCCGCTTCCTGTGTCCAATCGTGTGTTTACGTACACGATATTTTTAGATAACAAGAATTCTCAAAATAATCTTTCACGTTTGAAGATTCAATGAGAAAAATTAGATGCATTCTATTTGTTTAACTCCATCTTTACTTCGAAGGTGAAATGCAAAGACAAAGGTACAGGACAAAAATGTCAAAAGTAGGGAATGGCACGATTAACATCATTATTGGACTTGAAAAATGCAAGAGCTTGTTCGCGGAAAGTGTCACAGGGCTTTTGATCAGAAAAGCAAATGCATGAGAATGTTCAATCCAGTAAAAAAGAAATAATAGAAAGGCTCTGACTTATATAAATTCTAAGAGCAAAGTAACTTAACCACATGCAAAAATTTGTGTCGTAGGATAACAGTGGAAACACAATCACACATAGAGTGAAATGAATTATAGGAAACTAGAAAGCAATATGCAAGATAGAAAAATTGATGAAAATCAAGCCTGAGCCCAATATTGAATACTATGTCCTTAAGACAATTTTGTCTCCTGAACTGTGTCTAAGGTTCGTGGTCAAATACCTTCCAGAATAGAATATGTTATCTTTGTTTCGACAATGGCACAATCAGAAGAAAAAACACCAGCAGAAACAACGAACGCTTGATCAATCGCAGACAAAGCCGGTATCTGAGGATTTTTCTTGGCAGAGTTTCAGTAAGGAGTCAAGAAAATTTGTTATTTGAATTTACTGAATACTGATATTTATCAGAGATGAACGGTCGCTAAAGACACACCGAAGAGGCACGACTATTTGTAAACGAAGAAAAGGCACGACTGTTCAGAAATGAAAAGACATGACACTTTCAACTTCTAATTCATAAGCATTTATATAATAATCCCCTACATGAATAAGAAGTTTATCCTCTTTGACCATTTGCATTTCGAGCTAGGTACAATCTACGACTGATCAATGAGCAACAATTGCATCTGTGGACGCAATGCCTTGTAATCGTCTCTAGTAAAACTTGTTGGGTTTACTCGGTCAATCAATGGACATGATGCCTTATAATCGTTGACCTTTGAATGTAAACCAAGATAATAGAAAACACATAATTGTTCTTCGAACGTGGTTGGTCCTCTGTTTGAGTCCATTTTGGCCATGGAAACCTCCTGGTTCTGTAAGTGTATTAGAGAATATGACATTGTCATAATTTCACAAAAATGACCCTCACTTCACACTTATATAGGTGATTTCTGGAAGTGCATCCCAACATACACTGTCAGAACATATCGAAATTAGAAATCACTAAAAGATTACTTGCTTACCCTTTACTTATGCATTGTCTTGTCTAGGAATGAGCATGAGTTTTGAAAAATTAACTCCAGAGTGCTTATTCGTCAATCATCACTTGGTTTTCTCTTTGGAACTAGTTCGTGCGATCTCCAGTACTCTTCTAAGTAGAGTTTCCGCAATTATCAACATTTTAATAGCCTTAAACACATTCCTTTTGACAAACTATACATTTACTCTCTAGTTACACATTTGGTTAGCGGATTCGCAATTCACATAGTCAATGGTGATAGCCTTATGGTATCATGTCTTCGACGTATATGTCGAGATTTACCATTATAGATAACATTCCTTGCTCTTTCGATCGCTTCCTGACTATCACAGTGTATGCACACTGCAGGCACTGGCTTCGGCCAGTTCGAAATATCCTCAAGGAAGATTCATAGCCACTCGACTTCTTCATCGACTCTATCCAAAGTAATAAACTCTACTTCAATAGTAGACCTTTCTATACAAGTCTACGTGGACGATTTCCAAGAAATTACATTCCCACTAAGTGTGTACATATACCCACTCGTGGATTTAGTATCGGTAGAACTGGTGATCTGTTCGCATCACAATATCCTTCTAGTAGAACTGGATCCTTCTCCTAATGTAGAAATCTTTAGTATGCTATAAGTATCTCAAAACTCAGACTATTGCTTTTCAATGAGACTCTTTTAGATTACTTGTAAAACTACTTAGCAAGTTCACAACATATGCTATGTCTGGTCTAGTGCAATTCATGATATACATTAAATTGCCTAGTACTTGAGCATACTCCTTTTGTGCCTCTACTTGACCAGTATTTGCGTGTATTTCTGAGACCTCGAACTTATCTCAAGAAATCGATAAACACTATTATTAAGTACATATTCAATGAACACACAGTCTACTGTCTTTGGTCTAACTTAACCATTTTCTGTTTTGGAATCGTGACCTTTGCCAAACACTCTCACACTTTAAGATATTTCAAAGTAGGCTTCCTACCTTTGCATATTTCATAGCGAATGTTCTTTATTTTCGTATGAGGTACTCTATTGATTATATAGTTTGTTTTTAAAAAGACTTTCACTGACAAATTGTGGTAAATCAGACATAATCAACATAACATTCATCATTTCTTTTGTCTAATTTTTCCTTTTCACAATTCCATTTGACTGCGGCGCATAAGGAACAATTGTTTGGTGGATAATTCCAAATACAAGACAAAATTCTTCGAAAGGGCCATCATACTCTCCCCTCGATCGCTTCTTATTGCCTTGAGCCCTTGATTTTCTTACTCAATTGAGTTTCAGCTTCACTCTTGTATTGTTTAAATGCATTAACAGCTTCATTTGCTTTTAAGCAAATAAACATAACAATATCTAGTGCAGTCATCTATAAACGTAATAAAATATTTTTTATTGCCACTAGATGGCACATATTTCATGTAACATATATCTGTATGTATTAAATCTAAAGGCTTCGTTGTACTTTCATTAAGAGAAGGAAAATATGGTTTAGTAAACTTCGATTCAACACATACTTGACACTTTTTGTTCAAGCAATCAAACTTTGGCAATAACTCCATGCTAATTAAAGTATTTATCTACTTATAATTTACATGTCCTAATCTAGCATGCGACAAACCAAGAGACTCAAGCAAGTAAGCAAAAGAACCATTATTATTATTATTATCAGGATCCTTGGTTACAATAGTCATAACATTTATCTTCAAGAGACCATCACTAAGATATCACTTTCCTACGTATGTATCATTTTTAGATAGTACAAACTTATCGGAAACAAACACTAGAAGCCTTATTAGATGCGACTGTTCTCAAACGAAGAGGCACAACTGTTCGAAAGCGAAGAGAGGTAACTCTTACAACTTTTTACTCATAACCATTTATACAACACGACATTGATAAAACAGTCATAATAACATAATTAACTTCAGAACGACTAGGGCTTGAGCCTATAAATTCTACACTTAAAATGGACCTTTTATTATCTATAGATAAAGAAAGTCCTAGCAGACTGCCTCCACTGCAAGCCTTTTAGTAATATCTCCACAAGCCGTTGGCCCAAATGTCTTCTGTGAAACGTCAATTGAACATGCTTCCTTGTCGACGCATGCCTACAAAATTCGAAATATTAACTCAGAGCCATTTTCATGTTTTTTTTTTTGTTTTGAAAAATGCAAATAACAAGAGTTTTGCAGTTTGCACAATGGAGAATTCATCATTCTTGCTTTCGCAATTGCCCGTGGTGAATGCTCCACACATACACCTTGTGGGTCACCAAAACTAGCAAACTTGATAGCAGAGATTGGGCGACCTTGGCAAGATAACTTCTAAGGTCTTGTTCTCATGTGCATTTTCATGCTTATTAAATTGGAAACAAAATGCTGATCATGTGCACAATTAAATCATCATGATCCATACTGTGATACCTGAAGTCCAACGGTGACACTAAGAGGGCTGATAATATTCTTTCCAGGCTTCAACTTAAATCAAATTTATCATTGTGAATCCCATATATGGCCCAATGAGAGCCTATATATCAACCAGATGGAGATCATGTAATTAAAATTCACACACAAATATAGCTAATATAGAATGTTAATTAGTATCCTAAATATTACCAACATGTTCTCCATTGATGAATGCATGAATTACATGGCCACTGCCGTTAATCCTAAGAGACATATCATCACTCAAAACTGGATCATCTTGATCGAGATCAAGTCTGTCATAAAGGAAAATGATAACCAAAATTTTGTTAACAGTTATGAACAGAACAAAGAGAGCAAAAAGAAGAAAAAAATTAAGTGGATTATTACCTTGTCATGTACCAAAGATAGTCGCTAGCAGCATCTTTTTGATCAATAAGTGCGTTTGCAGAGACATTAACTTCAACTTTACCAAGAAGAGCATCACCAATATTCTCAGGCCTCCACACTACTACAAAGATAATGGTTCATCTTCAGCTTGGCTTTTTTGTTTAACCATTAGAGAGGTTTGGACAATCACCTGATTAAGAAAATATTAACGTATCAATTAGTAACAGAACCATTGATCATAATGAACAAAACTAGTATCGATTTTTTTGTTTTTATACTAAAAGACGTTAATTACGTACCTTGGCTGTGTTATACTCTTCATTTTAACAATCAGGAAGAAGGCTAACAGACCATGCGGGAACAGT